CCAACACCTTGATGAAGGATTTGGCTGTTGACGACTCAATTGACTTTCTGGATGACGATGCCGACTACGTGGCGCTTCCTGAAGATATGGATATGGACGAGGACGACGATGATGATTTACTTAACAACTTGAGAAATGCAGCACACATGAAGAGAAAAAGGCCAAAGAGTGCCAGTAGCTTCAAGCGCCAGGTGATGAATAACAAGGACTTGGATCCAGAGAAAAGAACATACATGTCTCGAGGAAACGCTGCTTTCGTGAGAGGTGATCTAGAAACGGCATGGAAGAACTATGTGGAGGTCATCAAGATTGACAACAAGAGTTACAATGCCTACAAGACGTTGGCTGAGATTTGCCAGATGCAAAACAAGTTCAACAAATGCTGTAAGTTCATGCTTATGGCGGCGCTTTCCAATCCTTCAGATGTAGCACTTTGGGGCCAGGCTGCAGAACTAAGTACAGATTTGGGTCACATCGACCAGGCCATTTACTGTTACACGCGAGCCATTGCAAGCAAGAACACCGAGCATGACTACGATTTCATAATACGGCGTTCTGGCCTATATAAGCAGAAAAGGCAGTATGGACGTGCCTTGGAGGGATTGCAGAGACTCAGTCAACAGTATCCTGAAGATTCATCCGTTGTCAAGCAATTGGCTGACGTCTATGTGCATCAGAAGCGTTACAATGATGCCATTGCGTTGTATAACCGTATTCTTGAAAAGAATATGAATCCAACAGAGACAAAAGTGCCAAGGTTCAACTGGTCCGAGCTCAATATCCTCACGGAGCTTTATATAAGCAAGAGATCATGGATATCCGCAATCAACATCATCAAAATCGTGGCAAGGTGGATCCAAAAGAGAACTGACGAAACGTGGTGGGACGAACAGCAGGACTGTGATGCCGAGTTCGACGACAGAAGAGGACCAGCCATAATGAAGAAAAAGCCAAAGTTCTACAACGAGTGTGCCGGGCGCCCTCATGATTTGCCGATTGACATTCGCTTCAAACTCGGCTACCTACGTCTTGAGTTGGATCAAAAGGACGAAGCTCTTCGGCATTACGGTTTCTTGTTTTTGGAGGAGGATAAGTGGGAAGTTTCGGATTTGTTTTATGAGGCCGGCAAGCACCTTGAGTCAAAGGGATTCTACGAGGATGCTATCACCTACTTGAAAGGCGTTATTGATGAAGAACATTTGGCAGAAGTACAGTACCTTTTGGGTAAATGTTACGCTGAAATCAAGGAATACGAAACCGCAAAAGCTCACTTGCTAGAAGCTATGAAGGATGATCCTGACAATAATTATCTTAAGACCATCTTAATTGAAGTGCTTTACTACACTAATGACCAGGATGACCAGGCATTGGCAAGCAGGCTTATCAGGGAGCTCAAGGCACCCAAAGCTGATGAAGCACAACCAGAGTCCACTGACTACGTACCGCCTGCTGATGAAGATGACGACCAGGATAACATAGCGCTCATCAAAAATGCGAGAGAGTATAAGGACACCAAGAAGGAGACGTTGACAGAAGAGGAAAGGGAAGAAATTGAGCAGCGTGCCACACGCATGGTGCTTGATAAATTCAACAGAATGAAGAGGCTTCAAGAGGCCATTGACCAGGGTCATACGGCTGCGGCGTCTGCTTGGATGAACATTGCCTCTCAGCTTATTGATATGTTTACCAGTGTCAAGGCATTCTTTCCCAAGAATAGAAAATCGACATTCAGAGGTATTGTGATGTACCTTCGTCGCAAGCAGGATCTGGACATCAACAATCGTTTGGCTCGAATCAATAACCTTTATGAGGGTATCACCGAGACGACAAATTCAAGAGTCGCTTTGACCGCACAGACCGAATTCAGAGGGCTCTCTTATGATCAATGGCTTTATATCTTTGTTCAAAATGCTCTTCTTGTGCGTCTGTTTGAGAAAAACGTGGATGAAGCGATCAGCATTCTTGAGGTGGCTTTCGATGTGAATGTTTTCATCCAAGACAAGCAAAGAGTAATGATCTTGCGATTTGTGCGTCTATCACTTGCAATTGACCAGCAGGACTACATCCCTACTGTCTGCAACAATGTCCGTTACGTTCTTACCTCGACACAGTTTTCACCAACCGTTTACGGCATCTTCATGTGCTGTTTTGGATCCGGTGTTGCTGCCTGGGCTGCCTTCAGCAACTACAACCATCAAAAGTATTTCTTGAGACAGCTTAAAGCTTACGACTCCTTGCTCCACTCGTCCAAGGTTTCTGGTGCAGCTCATGTCACTGTTGATGTTAAGGGAATGTCATTCGACAAAGAGCTTCCGCTGTTGCTCTACATGTACGCCTGTCTTTTGGGAAGCAACCGTGCATATTCTTCGCCAATTGTGTACCTCACCAGAGCTTACAAGAAATGCTACAACGACCCCACCATCTGTCTTATGCTAGGTTTGGCTCATGTGCACCGTTCGATGCAGAGAAACTCCTCCAATAGACACATGCAACTTCTTCAGGGAATTAGTTTCCTCTTGGAGTACAAAGAGCATCGGAGCAAAAACAGCACGGATTACGAAAAACAAGAAATTGAGTACAATTTCGGTCGTCTTTTCCACATGTTGGGTCTTCCAGCACTCGCGATCAACCACTACAACAAGGTTCTACTGTACCACGACACTCTCAAAGACGATCCAGACTATGATTTGCTGATTGACGCAGCATACAATCTCACCTTGATCTACACAATCAACGGAAACACCGCCATGACCCAGGAGTTGACGGATAAGTACTTGACCATCTAGTGGTGCACTGGTGCGACCTACTGAGTATTCCTCATTTCTAGATCATCATCTCCCATCAACAACTACATGGTTCGTCTCAAGCACCGTTACATTCTTTTTGATATACTATATCCCCCTGTGTCCATTCCTCGAACCGGAACCCAAAAGGAGAAGTTCCGCGACTTCTGCGATACTCCCAAAGACACCCTCCTAGCACTACACGCCTCATCACCAGCATCCATAAACTCCAAAACAATCGCCAATATACTCAAGAATGTTGTTCATGACCACTTTGGCGAAATTAGCGCGGGCGGAGTTGGCCTGCTGATAATTGTCAAATACTTCAGTAATAAAACCTCTACAGGTATAATACGATGCAACCGTCAGGACTTCGAACAGGTTATGGCTGCAATTGCGCTTGTGACAAAGGTGGACGCGTACGATGTTGTCATGAGGTGTGTTCATGTTAGTGGAACCATCAAGAAATGTGAACAGTACTCGATCAGAAGAAACAGACAGTTGATCATCGACCTAGGGCGTGATAAAGAGATGGAGTCTGGGCTCAACGAGTTTGTGGCTATGTTCAAGAAAGATGAAGCGGAGGAAGATGAGGATTAGACTTTTGGATTCTGAAGGATTCAGGTGGTTTGGATGATGTTGATGGCACCAGGTGATGCGCAATTATCTGAGGTGTGCGTTGGTTCGCTCGACCAATCAATATCAAATCTCACTTTCTTGAAGGTTTCGTGGCCACGCCGGTACATTTCGAAAAAATTGCTTCTTTTGCTGTGGCATAGTGAAATGCTTCACTCAGTGGATGGTTGCAAATTACAGCGGCCTGCACTTGGACTTACGCACATCCAGCGATTTTAGTGATTGCATCATCAACCAACACGGCAACTCATGCCGCTTCTGAACATCCTACAGCAGATCAAGCGCAAGGGCCAAATCCAGCATAATGTGGCTCCTTCACTGGTCCAGTCCAACCAAACACTGCAGGCACGGCCAGGTGCAACCAGACCTAATGCAGCACCATCAGACCGTCCGGTCGACCCAGTTGTGGCAAGGCTAAAAGCGGCTCGTAAAGCAGAAAGAGAAAAGAAGGAAGCCGAAGCAAGAGCCAAAAAGGGTCAAGCTCCAAAGAAAGAGACGAAACCAAGGGCGCCAAAACCTAGTCTGCGGCTGCGTGTTCCACCCAGAGATAAGTCCAGAAGCCCCATGGTCGCTCCGCTTCCTGCTGCTAGGGAGAAGAAACCAAAAGTTTCATTCTCGCAGCTCATGAAGAAAGCATCTCTGATTGACCAGAGCAAGATGTCTATTCAGTTCAAGTCCAAAACCAAGTCTCCAGAGCCTAGAACCGAGAGGAGAAAAGCTGAGCCCAAGCCTAGGGCTGCCAACAATGTAAATAGGGACAGGAGACCCAACTCAGTGCCCAGAGAAAAGCCTCGTGCACCTCCAAAGGAGCCTACCAACAACGCCAGAGTACCGATTCCCGCGAGACGGCCAAACTCCAAGCTTGAGGAGAGACTCCAGCAGAAGAAGCCCAAGAGTCAGGGCTACGACGATGAGGAAGACGACGACTCCGACATGGGTTCGTTCATCGCTTCTGACGAGGAGGAGGAGGTGCCACAGGACTACGACCGAGATGAGATTTGGGCCATGTTCAACAAGGGCCGCACGCGGCGCTACGACTACGATGATGATTCCGACGACATGGAAGCTACCGGTGCTGAAATCTTTGAGGAAGAGGCTCGCTCGAAGAAGAGGGCCTTGGAGGAGGACCGTAGAGAGATGGAGGAGGAGCAGCGTCTCGCTGAGCTCAAGAGGCGGCGCAAATTGAAGACGTCGTAGGCGTCACAGCATATATGATACAGGCCAAGGGCCACTAATAGCATACTAGATGGGAAGAGTTGTAGGAGCATTGAGGGTGTGCCTTATACTATTTAGTGGCTGGTTCGATGGCGTACTATTGAAAAAGCCATTGTAGAGCAATTTTCCTGAAACTCTAATATAATTTCGTCAAACTTGGTCAAACCTAAAATTCACTTTGAAAACTTGAACCCGTAGTGGTTACGGCACAGATTTCGCAGCCAATCTTCAGATCATCTACAACCTCATCTTCCAGCATACCTCCTACAACTCCACCTACTCGTCATTGACGTAATCATCTAAACAATCTGCATTCATTCAGGCTAAGGCTTTACATTCCCACCAATCAAAAAAACCCAAACCAGGATGTCCACATACAAGGAGGCCCTCAAAGAACTACGAAGAGAGCCACTTTCACTAAGAAATCGACTATTCCTGATACTCCTCGACGCCCAGTACGTCTCGAAATTTACTGCTTGTGGATTCCCCATTGTGGCCAATGAACGCTGTGGTCTCTGGTACGTGAAACCCGAGATTCTTGCCGAGACTGCCTACTTCAAGTCCACAGATGGACACACGAACCAGTGGAAGTTTTCGTTTAGGAGGCTCAATTTCCACCTTTTGCCTTTGATTGCCAAAAACGGCGGACTTGTCGTTGTGGACTCCACCAGAAAGGGAAAACTCATGCCTGATGCTCTCTCGAAAACAGTGCCCATATGGTGTGCTGTGTTGAACTACATCATGTTTGAAGGACAAGACAGCGACTGGGAAATCCAAAAAGACAATTGGCTCAGGACACCGTTGGAGATGGTTCTGGAAAGCGAACACAGCGCCATAGTGGAGAAGATCCCCGAGTTTGCAGCCGAACTCAAGAGACTAGGTTTGATCACGAAAGAACAGTTAGTCGAAAGGCTTGGAGAAAGTAAACCACTAGTTCCGGTCTGGAGAAGGTACGGCCAAAAAACGGTGGATGTGCCGAGATCTCTGGACTACTTCACGGTGGTGTGTGTGACTGCCCTGGCTGTCTCTATAGAGACCACTGGATTTTCTTACGTTCAAGGTGCTGCTGATGATCATGAGCTTTGGGCGACCAAGGATATCTGCAACGGCAAGCTTGATGGTAAGGTTTTCTGGGATTTGAGCAAGGAGACCGGTGAGTCCAGGATAGTTGATGAGAATGGCAGCATATACAGCTGGCTTTCCGATGGAGAGCTTTCCAGAAGGATCAATTGCATTTACGAGGAGCGGATTGGCGACACTGGGCTGAAATTGGATATCACGGCTTTGGGGAATACTGGCATTTCTGTGGGTATCATAGACAGAAAAGTGGCATACGAGGAGGTTAAAGGGTATGATGCTGTGGTGGTGCTTTCACAAGAGAACGGAATTGACGTTCCAGAGAAGGCCACGACCAAGGTACTCAACACAAAAATACCAGAAGGCAAGCAGGGTTCAAAAGAGCTTCGAGCGATTCTTCCTAAAATCATGGATTCGTTGAATGGGTGCAATTCAATCGCCATCTTGTGTGGCTCCGGAAAGGATCTTTCGGTGGGAGTGGTACTCTGCCTTCTTTGCAAGAGATTTTCAACAAACTGGGAGGCGTCGACCGACCAACTCACCAATAAGGACGTGGTGAAGCAGCATTTGAGCAAGATTCTGGATCTTCGCAAGGTCAATCCCAGCAGAAACACCCTACAAAGCGTCAACACGTTTCTCATGGGCCGGTAATTTATAGAGGAAAGCATTTCTATTGTTTTTTGGTGAGTAGATGAGTGTAGAGGTTTTCAATTTTGAGTAATTCTAGATGTTCAGGGTGTAGTATGAGTATTTCGCAGCCATTCTTGGCTAACGAAGAATTTATGTGAAATCGGATATAAGTCAAGTCAAACTGGAAACTTTCATTCGATTCATATCATTCTTACAACGTAGTAACTAACATTGAAGAAAATGAAAACGAGCCGAACCCAATGCATTGTTCTCGGTTCTTCTCTATCACTGCCTGTAGTGGCAGCTTGTGAATATCATAACCACCCCACCAAGGTCCCCCATATCCCCAAAAATCAATATCTTAACAATATCATCATTATACAGCACCTCTCTAAAAAACATAAATAGCTATATATATCACAATCATCGTGTTCCCGTGACTTTTCCACCGGCTACTTTAACCTCCGGCGCACTTCCCCACAGTGCGATTATCTCCTACTCTTCTTCATCACCATGCCACGCTTTCTATGCTTACCAGGCTATTTCCAAAGTGGCAAGGTGTTTGCTGAAAAGCTGTCGGGTTTCAGGAAGACGCTATCCAAAAAGTACGGCTACGAGTTGGAATACCTTGACGCTCCGATTCTCATTGAGAAGAAGGAGGACCTTCCGTTTCTGCTTGGAACCGACGAGAAGGGGGCCAATGAGAAGTTTGAATATTTGAAGAAAAAGGGCATTGCAAGATGCTGGTTCGACTACCACGACGGAATCTACGACCGCTTCGACGAGTCCTACGAGTACTTGATCAACCATATCAGGAAGAACGGCCCTTACGACGGAATTGTGGGATTTTCCCAAGGAGCTGCCATGGCGGCGATAATAGCAAATTCAGTTCATTTGCACGGAATTAAGCCTTTCAAGGTGGCGGCGCTTTTCTCCGGTTTCGCTTTCACTGTATCTCTGAAATCTTCGTTTTCGGAGGATGAGTCGCTTGCCGATTTCAGTGCTAGGCTGTGGGTGAACAAGGACTACGTGAAGTATTATCAATTGCCTAAGGACTCGCCCACAACGGTGATTGCCGTATACGGAAAGGAGGATGGGGTTGTGCCGCCATTGAGGACCAAGTACTTGGCTTCTTTGTATGAGAACGCTACGGAATTCGAGCATGACGGTGGTCACTACTTGCCTAATAAGAAGGAGGCCTTAGAGCCGATCGTGGAGAAGATACGTTTTGCCGTGGAGCCCAAGCCAGCGCTATAGGGAGGTTTTGGGAAACTTAAAAGGCGATTTCTTAGAAGGAGAGATCGCTTGTGGCACGAAGAAATGATATAGATACTAGTATGAACACCATGGATATATGGAACATGTTACACATGGCGAGTTGATGTAGTCACAACTAGTAAGTAGTAACTAAGTGGACCAATTACTACGGTGCACAATTTAGAAACCCAAAATTCTAGCATATCCATCTTCGTCATAAATAAGTTTATTTCAAAGAACGCCGTTTAATATTCCACGTTATGCCGGTCAATTGGTGACTGCCCTGGCAGAAGTGTTGATGGTGGTGCACAGAACCCAACTTCATCAACTGCTACTACTACTCAATGGAAGGATCCAACAGCCCAGAGGCTGAACATAATGAGAAACCCGCGTCTCCCCAGATCGGAGAAAGCTCTGTAGACCAGAGCCCGTTTCCACAAAATGATGACAAAAAACGCCAATCTGACAGTGAAGACCCAGAGACCAAAAGAGCCCACCAGGAAGAAACACCAGACTATATCCAGTCTCTTTCACGAAAGGACAACTCGGCCACACCTGGTCCAGCATCCTCGTCTGTTTATAAAGAAACAAAAAAAGAGCTTCCAGCATGGATGAAGAGCAAAGCCCAGCCTTCTGAAGCCAACAAGTACGATAAATACGGTGGAAGATCTTCAGCAGCTCGTGAGCTGTCAGCAGCATCCAAATACGACAAATACGCCAAGTACGCCTCCAAAGACGACAGATATCTGAAGTACGGCGCTAAGGTAGAGTCTCAAGATGCTCGAGTGGTGAGACGTGCTGATCCAGAACCAGAGAAGGATCCTCGCAGAGGACCTAGTCAAAGAGAACCCATAGAACCTCCTGTGGAAGGACTGCCTGCAGTTGCAGCATACACAAGTGTCCCGTCTTTGGGAGGAGCAGGCCAGAAGAGTGAGTACAGAACATTCCAGAGTAGCATCGCTCACAAGGAAAACAAGGATATCAACAGCATTGTTAGACAGCACTACAACCAGCGAACCTTCCAGCTGCGGATGCAAGGATCCAGAACGAGGTCGCCGATCTACAAGATGAGAAACTTCAATAATGCCATCAAGTACATGTTGCTTGGAAACCATGTCAAGAGACTGCTGCCTGGAGCTCAGCTCGTGCTTTTAGATTTCTGCTGCGGAAAAGGTGGTGACCTAAATAAGTGTGAGTTTGTGCATGTGGACCAGTACATTGGCGTGGATATTTCGGATGCTTCTGTCAAGGAAGCGTTTTCTAGATACTCCCAGAACAAGGCTAGATTCATTCCCCAAAACCCACAGGCCAAAAGGTCTCGTGATTCCAAGCGCTACAACTTCGAGGCTTGCTTTGCTACTGGTGATTTGTTTACCTACTCGCTACCCGAGATCCTAGAGCCAAACTTCCCTGGAATCATGGACGGCTTGTTCCCTGTGGACTGTGTCAGCGTTCAGTTTTCATTTCACTATGCATGGGAGACGGAGTCCAAGGTCCGTACTGTACTCACCAACATCACAAGATCTTTGAGGCCCGGTGGAACTTTCATCGGAACGATCCCGTCGTCCGACTTCATCAAGGAGAAAATTGTCAACAAGGACTTTTACGAGAAAAACACATTCGGCAACGACTTGTACCATGTCCGTTTTGAGAACGATCCTCCAGAGGATGGTGTTTTCCGTGAGCCCTTTGGTAACCGGTACGACTATTTCTTAAAAGACGCAGTCGACGACGTGCCCGAGTACGTGGTTCCATTCGAATACTTCCGTTCATTGTGCGAGGACTTCGGTTTGATCTTGAGGTACAAAAAGAGCTTCACAGATATCTTCAACCAGGAGATACCGAAGTACTTTGGCAAACTCAACAAGAACTTAATCGACGGTATGAAGCGTGCGGATGGAAAGTACGGCGTGGAGGGTTCCGAAAAGGAAGCAGTGGCATTTTACGTGGGCTTCGTCTTCGAGAAGCTCGGCAATTAACCAAACAAATAGAATAAAAACCACACGATGTATATGGTGAATAGAAGGGTAAGACGGCCCTTTGTGGTGGTTCCAAGCCAAAGACCAGTGCCCAAGGATTTATCAGCAACTCTTCTGATGTACAACTGCTTGAGTTTATCGATGGCAGTGCACTTCATGTACATCATGGTGGGTCCGCTGACAATGTCTTCCTGCTCTGCAACCCTCATATCCTTGCGAGCGTTGTGTGACAAATGACGATTAGGTATGTTACTAGGAAGTATGACTAGATTGCCATTGTGGCCAATAATGCTTTCGGGTGCCTCCCTTGGAATCGTTATCAGCAAGTACACGGGACGATGGTCTGACCTCAAGTACTCATCAATGCTATCGTAGGCGAGGATATTGGGCTGCTCTTTGCGGTATGTGGATTGGTAGAAGATGCGGTCACACCACAGAGGGCAGCGATGTTGATTGTAGATCGCCATGCCCGGATGGTACTTGTAAGTTGGTTTGAATGTAATGCAACCCTCGGTGAAACCGGAGAACAAGTCACCGTTTGCTTTGCCCTGAGTGAGTTCATCGTATTTGAGCACCAACAGCTCCACTTCCGCTTCGGGAAGGCGGCTGGTAGTGTAATTGAACGGTTGAGACACCTCTTGCTTGCGTACCTCGTCCTTAGGGTCTTTTCTAGTTCTGAAGTTCAAATCGCCCATAAAGAAGGCATGTGATCCCGGTTTCAAAAAGCTGTAGCCATCGCCAAAGTCTAGAGCCCGCTGGATGGCCCAAATGTTTCGAATTCTCCGTTGGTAGTACACCTCCCCTTCAAAAGCACCTAGGTGAGCATTGGTGAAGGTCAATTCCGTCAGCTTTGACTCCTCGTAAACGTACTTGACTCTGATGCCAACACCACCCTTTAAAGACGTGCCACCGTTACCACAGCTTGCAGTGGCCGTCTTGCAATCCCTAAACTTGGATGGATACGGCGTTATAGCAAATAGGCCGATCGCACCGACATGCTGAAAAGCAATGGTAGTGAAGCTCAACGCATCAGGACCATAGCCGTATCCTGTCTTCAAAACCTCAATGGCAACCTCGTTTGCCTTAATAAGCAACAGACGGGCCGTTTCTTCAAAACAGCCGTCCATGACTGTGCAGAACTCCTGGAACCCAAACACATAGAGATGTGCTGGTTCTTTGGGGAGTGTGGGGACAATGCTCAGCAGGTACTCCACGGGATCAAGCGGCTTTTTCGCCAAGTTGAATGTATTTAGATAGAGGGGGATCTGGTCTTTCAGCATTGTGGTGATGTAGTATGAGGAGAATCTGGAGAATTATAGCAAGCTGTGCAGGCCGTATGGAGGAACCAGATCATGCGCCACAACCAGCGATTCTGGAGGCAGGGGAAGAAATTAGTTTCCGAAAATTTCAAAACAATCTTTTTATCTGCTACTTTATTGATAGTATGGATTTCTGGATCATGGGCCGTATATGGAACAGTGTGGTGTACGGATGTGTCATATCTATGTACCGATGCTCTGCTGAGACATCACCAGCATGTCCCTACTAGAAGCCCAAAGACAGCTCTTGGAGGAAAACGATGCTTTGGAGGTGGCTGTAGCACAGCGGTTCCGGAAGAACCCGGGTCTTGCCGGGTCGTGCCGGGTCGACCAGTCACACAAGCTAGCCACCAAGAAGAAGCGGTCTCATAAAGAAACGCTTCTCGAGGAGCACGAGCTCAAGTTCTTTGAGGAGACCTTCAAAAGTAACTCCAAACGTCTCAAAGAACAGCTCAGCTCGAAAACCGATCTCGTCAAGGAAATCAAGGCGTTCAAGGACCCAGACTTCAGGTTCCATCTGTTTTTAGATGCCATGAAGGACTTGGACAGCAAAAGAGGCGATAAGCAGACGTCTGCCAAAACCGTGCTTTCCAGTATCCTACCGTACCTGAGTGCTCCCGAAGAGGACCGAAAACCAGAAACCAACAAAGTCAAAAGGAAGCATCTTCTTTCTGTAATGGGTGCTCATATCAGACCCCAGTTGGGCTTGAAGTTCAATGAGGTCGAGCAGTTTGGCAAGTTTGTTGATTTGTCATTCTTCTTTGACCAGTATAAGTTGTTGGTTCCTTCAAAGGTTACGTATGTGGAGTACCTACGCAAGTTTGCAGACTTTCCGTACCTGACGACGTCGGATGAGTATAAGCGGTACCTCCATCAGCTTCTCGAGTACTTGCTTGAATTCTACAAGAAAACACACCCTCTTGATGAAGTCGAGAAGCTTCTCGAGAATGAGGAGGATGGAGAAGAGCAGCTTGAGGAAGGGAAACCGAACGATAAAGGCGAGGTCTTCTGCAAAGCGTGTGATAAGCTTTTCACCAAGGAGTCCGTTTACAAAGGCCACTTAGACGGAAAAAAGCACAAGAAGAACCAGAAAGCTCTTGAGGAGAACAGCGAGCATGTAAAAAAGGCGACCAATGCCACCACAGAGAAACAAATCGCTCAACTAGCAAAGCTCCTCAAACCCACCATAGAAGAAACAATCAACCACATAGAAAGACGAGCTGCTGCTTCGGAGCGTGAGCGCATGATTGAAGACACTGCATTGGCCGAGGAAGAGGAGGAGTTCACAGCCACAGACACAGACTCAAGTGATGAGTCGGATAGTGACGACGACGACGATCTACTATCCAAGCATCTTCCTCTTGGAACCGATGGAACACCGATTCCCCTCTGGCTTTACAAGCTCCAAGGTCTCCACAAGAGCTACAACTGTGAAATCTGTGGAAACACCAAGTACAAAGGTCGCCAGCAGTTCGACAAGCACTTCCACCTGGCAAAGCATATTCATGGTTTACAATGCCTTGGTGTGGATGACGAGGCGTTGGTGAGTTTTGTTGGTATCTCCAGCATTGACGAGGCCAATGAATTGTGGCTGAAGCTCAAGAAAATCAGACGAAACGAGGAGAAGGCTGCTGAGACGGCAGTGGAGGTTGAGGACGAAGAGGGCAATGTCATGCCCGAGAAAAACTACCTCGAGTTGAAGAAGCAGGGTCTTTTGTAGTTAGTGGGGGCATAGCCAGTGTGCCATGTAATATAGTAATTGAGGAAAATACTTATATGCTACATCGTAAGTTCTACTCACAATTTTGATAAAAGTTCGAATCATAAAATTTACGGGATAATTCCGATGCTCATGAGTACCCTTCATGGTGCCTGGATCCACGATGCTGGTGTTGATGATAATTGATTACTGTGCAACCAACAAACAACCCAATGGATGACCATTACACGAGTAGCACAATAATAATCACTTCATTTCCTCTCCTTTTGCTTCCGCTTTCCTCATTCAAAAACCGCCCCTAATCATCAGACTCTTACTTCCATTTACGCCTACTGGACCTTCCAAACCAAGAAACCCATGAATGACAACCTCATTTGAGTGACCATCACCCCAGCTCAGAGACAGGATTCCAGCTCCAGAAGAACATAAATAGAGGCCTTTTCTCCCTCCGTTTTTCTTTCTTCATCACCACATTCAAACATATTAGCTACTACAGAGATGAACGCCTACTACAACTATTTCAGTGCTACAGCTTCCCTTGCCTCCAAGGCCATTACCAAGTCTTTCACAGGCTTCGTTTACACTGCCGCCTATGCCGCAGAATTCATCGAGGACTTCTCCCAAGTGAACTCGATTGTCAGCAATGCTGTGACCAATACTCTTGAAGTCCCCGGTACTTTCCACGAGTACGACTTCCCCGAAACCATTTCCCCATCTTCCCCAGAACCCATTCTTGTGATGCCCGGTTCGTATCCCCCTGAGAAAGAGGAGTCGATTACCAATCGTCGCAGAAGCCTCAAGGCCACCAGCGACTGGCAAACCATTGAGCTTAAGAGCCCAAAGAGAGCTTCCCCCTCTCCGCTGCCGGTTCCACTTCCTGCTCCAACACTCAAGCCGAAGTTTCAGCTGTTTAGAAAACGCATGAAGCATAACAATGGCGGGTTCAGAGAGCCTTCTCAAGACATGAATAAGGTCTTGACCCTGGGAAACATGTTCCTTGTTCTCCAGGAGTGCTGATGCCCCCAGGCTCCGCTTCCCCATAAAGAAAAAAGAAAAAAAAAAAAAAAACAGAAGAAAATTTATAAAAGTAAGAAAAAAATAAATATAATTGAAAGTGAATTGTAGAGAAGGGTGGGTGTGGTGCTGACCATCGTTCATAAGAGGAAGGTCGAACATAGATGGTGAGATAGGCAGGGGCAGTAATGTCGTTCACTCTAAGTGTTTTAAAATCTTTCCTTGGTTAGTGTACTACTACATTTGGGACGGTCATGTCGATGTCTTATTACTTCGTAGTAGGTACACCATATAATGTATCTATTGCAAAGGGTGTTCGAGAATTTGGCGAATTTAGCCCACATACGATTCAAGTCAACCTCATCATACGTTTCAAAGCAGCTAGCAACAAAATCTCTATAAAATTATAGTCTAGCCTTTCGTTACAATACGTTGAATCTCTGCTTCCAGAGCATCACTTCTGTTGAGGGAGCAGTAAGGTCACAGATTTCAAGGATGTATTGTTTCGACAGCGATACCATCACATAGCTCTTTCTTCTCATTCGAAGATTACAAGTAATACTAGGTTTCCTCTTGCTAGCTCTCGTCAACCGCTCTAAGCCCCTCTGCTTGCTCCGTCTTCGGCTTCTGGTGCTCAATTTGCACCCAACGACATCTCCCCATCCATCCCATAAAAATCAAAACCAACACCACCACCGTAATCTCCAAAGCAATATCTATCTCCCCGTCCCCCTTTTTTCCCCAAAAATGCCCATCCCCAAAAATGCCCTCCCACCCACTCTAAATCCCCAGACGCTCAGTGCGAAATTCATGGTCAGACTCCATCTCCATCGAACTTCCTGGATCAGACACATGACAGAGTCGGCGAAAAGGGCACTGCTGCCGAGCGGACCTCCGGCCAAATCCAGACCCCCTCGTGGAACCATGAAATTCAGAGACGATCACGGTTTCAGGGTGAAACAGCAGACCATCGACAAGGATAAGGTGAACTCAGAGGCCCAGCCTGGAAAGACCATTTTTGAAGAGGAGACGGAGGGAGCCTCCTATGTTATAGAGGGCCCGCTTCGAAGAACAACGCCTTACTACTTCACGTACTTGACGTATTGCAAGCAGAGATGGCGGGACAGGAAGATCTTGGATGTGTTTCTCGATGAGTTCAGGGAAAAGGATCCTGAAATCTACAGAAAAGCCATTGCCAGTGGGCAAGTCACCATCAACAAAAAACCCACCACGTTGGAGCTGGTGGTTAAGAATGGCGATCTCATCTCTCACAGATGCCATAGACACGAACCGGCTGTTTCGCTGAGACCGATCAAGATCGTTTTTGAAGACGACAACGTCATTGCCATTGATAAGCCCTCGGGGATCCCCGTGCATCCTACGGGCCGCTACCGCTACAACACCATCACGAAAATCTTCCAGCACGAGTTTGGAAAAACCGTTCATCCATGTAATCGCTTGGATAGGCTCACACTGGGACTCATGTTTCTCGGGAAGAACGCCAGAGGTGCTGATTTTTTTGTGAAGCAGATCAGGGAAAGAAACGTCAGAAAAGAGTACATCGCCAGGGTGAAAGGCAGGTTTCCAGTAGAGCCTGTTCAGGTGGATCAGCCTCTTCACACTGCTTCGCCAAAACACGCATTGAACGTTGTGGACCACGAAAACGGTAAACCTGCTACTACAGAGTTCAAGCGTGTCTCCTACGATCCGGCTTCTGATACGTCTATCGTCAAATGCCACCCATTAACGGGAAGAACCCATCAAATCAGAGTCCATCTTCAGTATATTGGTCATCCTATTGCGAACGATCCAATCTACTCTAGTGAATTCGTATGGGGCCCTGAGTTGGGCAAAGACAACGTAGGAGTTCCTTCGGAGGTTATTGCTAACCTAGACAGGGTTGGTAAAGACAAGGCGTGTTCTACATGGATACATCCCGAGGAAGACGGTGAAATTCTATCTAAAGACCAATGTCCAGAGTGTGAGATGCCACTCCACACCGATCCCGGTCCTAATGACCTAGATCTCTGGCTTCATGCTTATAAATATGAGGCTTCCGACAAGCTGTGGTCGTACTCGGCCCCATACCCAGACTGGGCCATCAATCCACACCGCAAGTTCATGGAGCTTGCTATAGAACAAGCCAAAAAGTGTGGCGAGACCCAGACGCAATTCAATGTCGGTGCCGTTTTGGTGCTTGACGGCGAGGTGCTTGCAACCGGTCATTCTCGTGAATTACCAGGCAACACACACGCAGAGCAATGTGCTTTGGAGAAGTATTTCAAGGAGCACAACACTCAGGACGTTCCTAAGGGCACTGAGTTGTTTACCACCATGGAGCCCTGCTCCTACCGTTTGAGTGGAAACTTACCCTGTGTCGACAGAGTGTTGGCCACCAGCATCAAAACCTGTTTTGTGGGTGTGCTTGAGCCCGACACTTTCGTCCAAAACAACACCGGCAAGGCCAAGTTGGAGGACGCTGACGTCGAGTATATACATATCTCAGGCTATGAGGATGAGTGTCTTGAGATTGCCAAGTTGGGCCATGACAAAAAGGAGTGATCAGTCGCTCTCATCCAACTCTAAAACAACGTCCCGCGTTGAATACACGAACACATCACGACGGTTCCGTCCCGCTTGCTCGGCATCAGCAAAAGAAACGCTCCTGTCGTTGCTTCGTAAGTTGTCGACCCTCTCCCCACTTCCGTCTGAGTTCAGCATTGCTGCTCTTTCTCTTGATCTCCTCCTCTCACTGGCATGTCTTTCTAATTGTGCCAACGGTGCTTCAGCCAGTCTTTCCACAATAGGTTGTTGAGCAGGACCAAAGCTGCTACTCACACTCACAGAACGTGGCACAGCCAAACCTGTGGCGATGATCTTGTCTGTAATGTCGAGGAACATGTTCTTGGCGTTGTTCATGCCGTTCACGAATTTGTAGAACCTTGAGTGGCTGGGTTCCTCGGAGGCCAGGCTCAACTCGCCTGAAGTAGCTTTTGTCAAAGTGTTGCTGGAGCTGCTTTGACTGTGGAGGTTTTGTGGACGGTCTCCGTCATTATCGTCATCTTCATCACTAGAAATATCGTCATGGAAGGACTGTCTTCCAGGAGTTTCTGGTGCCTCTTCTTCCACAAACAACTCAAATCTATCTAGCTCGTAGAGCTCATCTTCGTAGAAACGGCGACCAAGAACACCTTCCTTCTCCATCATTCTCCTTATCACATTATACTTATTACACCACTCCCAAGGAATCACCACACAGATGACGTAGGTGACAACAGAAAAGATTTCCGAAAGCGCATACACCCATGTGTTGGAGACATCAGCAATGAAAAACGCCACCGGGGCGTAGATGAACACCAATGTAAGGAGCGAGATGAGCCAAATGTGTCTGTTTGCTATGATCTGCTTGATTTTGATAAGCAAGAAAGCCGTGAATATCGCAGCATAGCACATACCCATGGCAATACGGAAAAGGTATGTCAAGGCCGGAATAATCTTGCCCGCCTCGGCTTCCGCATGGAAGTTATGGAACTTGGTAATGCCCCAGAGGGTCTGAGAAACAACTGCAGCGCTGGTGCCCACGTAGAAAATCAGTCTTTTGTCGCTTTGTCTCAGGAAAAGTCTCATCACAACTTGAACCTGCAAGATGAGAAGAGAGAGAACCACGATCATGTCTATAATGCTCAAATATAGCGTATCGTTGACCGCATTTAGTACAGCTTCACCGTGCAAAAAGCCCTGCCGCTGCTGGTTGTGCAACACAACAATAGACTTGATGACGGTTATTAGCATGTAAACCGAGGAAAGAATCGTCAGCAGCTGTAGTAGGAAGGATGGTTTGATTGTGTAGTTTGTCAAGACGAAAATGGTAAAGAACCAGGTGATGACGGCCAGGATGGCGATCGAGTAGACGATGGGCACCACGCTGTATACAAAAGTGCCGTTATCGGGCGGCGTGGTGAACTCCTCCCACAGCTTCTTAACTAGGGGAAGCGATTCGGAAAAGGTATTAAGCACCAAATTCACATTTGAGTTGAGCATGGGCGTCGTCCCCTCGTAGCATTTCTGCTGAAACACAGCGCTTCGTATGTATCGGACAGGTTGGCTGAAATCGTGACTTATTAGAAGCCCTTCGGGTAGCTCCATCTGAAGGCACAGATCGTACACTTTTCGAGACCCGCTACTTCGCCAGAACATTGCCATTATTAGTGTGGACGGTGTCTGAGGATTGCGAGGTTATGACTCGAGGGATGAAAGGAAAGATTAAAAGCTTCAATAGCTGTCAAAAAAAAAGGTGTTTGGGATGGTCTTGGCAAAGGTGGTGTAGTAGGTGAGGCCTGATAAGTTGCACCCGTACCTCCACTGACCCCAGGGTCCACTGTCCAGCAAGTGGGCTAGGAAATGACGATTTCGATAGTAAATTTATTAAATCTAGTTTTTGAAGATGTCGATCTTAGTTCTGTAGTAATTTCTGCATCGTGAAGTGTAGGCTGCTCTGTCTTGCTGTGTTGATTGAAGACCCCAATTGCGGAACTGTAACGGAACAACAACGGTTCACCGAAATAAATGAAGTAGTATTTCAGTTTAAGGGGTTTTGCATAAAAAGAAGCCGTTTTTTATAAATAGCAGCTCTGCTCCGTGTGCTTTGTGAAGCCATTCTGGGGATCGGCAAATTATCAATGGCTGCGAAAAGAATGGGCCAAGCCTTCAGCTCGTCTATTAGCCGACAAAGGAGTCTGCAAAGCCGAACGGGAAGCGAAAGGCGATTCAAAAAGCGTCAGTGTACTTTTTTGACAAAGTTATAGAGCATGACTAAAGATAGTCCTTGCTTGTAAATGTGATAAATGGATGTTGAATGATACATATAGTCAATGACAAATGTGCTTAAGGATCTCAAATTCTGGACTCACGAACGCAATTACGTGGAGGCAATTTTTTTTTTATCTTTAGATTTTTGATCCCTTTTCATTGAGCCCTTTGTGAAACGACATTTTGGCACCTAAATAGCCGTGCCAACTGGCCATTCAGACTTCTGTAACACATCAACACCCGTTACTGATACCTTGAGCTACAAACTTTAAACAACTAAAAATTGATTTTATTTAAATCCTCCTCTTCCTCATTTCCCCAGACCACACTCCCACTGTCCCACCTCATCTCGTGTAGATCACAGCTCCAACGATTCAGCCGCACGTTCCGGTCCACCTTGACGAACACACCCTTCATTCTTCTAAACCAAACAATTCGTAGAAAAGTAAACAAGAAAAACAAAAAATCCAAAACCCCGGCCTCACCGGGCGTGCCTCTTCCACACACCCATGCGTAGCGGTATCTAGCGAGAATGGTTGCAAATACCGATATACGACAACCCACACCGATCCAAAAGCACCACCTACACCAGAATCCCAAAAAAGAACAAACCATCCAAAACGCCTCTCCCTCCCTTCCCTTTCCGCCCAAAAAATCCAAACCTCCCGTTTCCTGATAACTCACCTTGCCGATACCGGTGGCCTTGCTGCCTACACATAATATCTCAAACCCGATAGAATCACCACTTCACCTTGTGGCTTCACTATGGCGTCTCTCGAAGCCAATGAGCATCAGGACGTGTTGCTTTCGCCGCTTCCCCGCTCGGAAACAGACGTGTCGCATAACTACTCCTTGCTAGACTACTATGGCTTGGACGGCTTTGATGTTCAGGACCAGAAGAGTGAAAGTTCATATGTCAAGGTGCTGAAGGACGTTCCGGCCCAGGAGGAGAATGGAGCGATATTTCCGACACCCGTGGAGGTTCAGCAGGAAGAACCCGTCAAAGAGGTCCAGCTGAAACCGTCCAAACTGCCGCTCATATCGTTCAAACCGGTGGTGCTGGAGATCGACAAGAACACCATATTGCATAGCGACTTCGACATGTACGGATTCAAGAAGGACCTGTCGTTTTTCGACTCGTCGAAGGAGCAGTACAACATGTGGTTTGGCGACTACGCCGACCAGCTAGCGCAGCAGAAGAAGAAGTGGCAGGTTCTACTCAAGAACAACGGATTGGGCTATTCTTCGGAAAGCCCCAGCAGATTTCCTCCCAAAAGCGATAAGGCCAAGAAGCTCGTGAGAAAGGGAATCCCGCCCGAGTGGCGAGGCGAAGCATGGTTCTTCTACGCTGGAGGCCCCGAACGACTCCACAAAAACGTCGGTGTGTACGAGAAGATCGTCGCCGATACAGAGGGAGTCACCAACAAGGACACGGAAGTCATTGAGCGGGATCTCAACAGAACATTTCCCGACAACATACACTACAACCTGCTGATCTTGCAGGGCGAAAAGGTGGAAACGGAACGGATCCAGTCATTGCGCCGTGTGCTCACTGCATTTGCTCATTACCAGCCGCAAATCGGCTACTGCCAGTCTCTCAATTTTTTGGCGGGTCTCTTGCTTTTGTTCATGAACGAGGAACGGTCCTTCTGGATGCTTGTGATTATGACGGAACGGATCCTCCCCAAAGTGCATTCAGCCAATCTCGAAGGCGTCCACACCGACCAAGGTGTCTTGATGCTCTGCGTGAAAGAGTACATCCCACGGCTATGGCAAATAATAGGCAAGAACTTCGAAGGAGCCGTGCTCTCTGACGATAAGATCTTGACCCGTTTGCCGCCCGTGACGCTTGTCACCTCGTCCTGGTTCATGTCTGTATTTATTGGCGTTTTGCCCATCGAGTCCGTGCTCAGAATCTGGGACATTCTCTGGTACGAGGGCTCCAAGACCATCTTTCGCATATCACTCACGGTTTTCCGTCTCTGTCTCGACCATCCACAGTTTCTGGGTGAGGAGAAACGAGGCGATACGCTGGAGCTGGACCAGATCGAGCTTTTCCAATTCATGCAGAGCTTCCCGAAATCCATCACAGATCCAAACCTTCTCATTGACAAGTGCTTCAAGAAAATTGGCGGCTACGGCTTTGGCTTCTTATCGCAAGACGAAATCAACAAGTGCCGTGAGTTTGTCGCTCAGCAGCGCAGTAAACTCCGCAACAAGGCGATGGTGACGGCCGAAATGAGCGACATGGAGCGGGAGGCCCTCAAAATACCCGACACTTCTGAGATTCACGATGTCTACGGTTTCCATAAATCCGTCATGAACGGTGTGGCATGGAACAAGCATCTCAGCAGCAAAATGAAGAGCAAGTTCCGGAAGCACCGTGGATGAGGTGAGAGATTCTTCGGAATACTTTATCGATCCAAAAAATATTCATAAACTCCAGTCCACCCATTGGAACTGGTTGCAAATTGGCGGTTTGGAGGTGGTGAGATCACGTGCCGCCAGCTTAAATTCTGCGGCATCCAGCACCCATAGACAAACCACACCATGGAATACAAGTATCTTATACTGCGGGTCGCCGACCCGCTCATTGCCGTTGGCGTTGGTGTGGCGGCATACTACCTCCACGAGAGGCGGGCAGGTCGCCCGGAAGGCCACACACTCAATGAGCTTTTAGCCAGGAGGTGGAAGTAGTCTACATCGGCTTTCTACCTCTGTATATTCAATGAACTAGCATACGATGATAGCATGACCAATGCAACGATCAGAGAGCGCTCTTGAACAGCTCCACTGCCTTTTGTGCTCTTTCTGCTCCGATGTCGAGGGCCAAGAGCAGGCCGATTTTCGTCCACGTGGCTTCAGTGACCACAGGCTCGAGAACGGCCTCGTCTGGGTCCTCAGAAGCAGAAGATGCTGGTGCTGGCTGTTCGGGGCTCTTGGATTCTGTAGATGTAGTGGGTGGAGACACCATGACGGTGATGGCGAGTTCCTCGTTCGCCTTGGCCACAGAGCCGATCTGTGTAGAGTCCGTAAGCACCTTTGCCTTGAGCATCAACTTCAAGTTGGTTGGCGCCGCTCCAGCGCTCTTCAAGGTCTCCACCGACTCCACAAGTTCGCTTTTGATGTTGAACACCGTCAGTTCAAGCGGCACGTCCAACGACGCGGTGAACTTGAAAGGTGGCTTGATGCTTTTAAAATTGAGCTTTGTGGACTCTCCAGCAGCCTTGGTGGCCTTGGGGAAGCCCTGGGGAAGTTGGGGTAGCGAAGGACCCAACGAAGTCAATTTATGGTAGTCCTCGGTGGAATGGAAGGTCTCCGGTGCAGCATCGCTCAGCAAGCGTATGAGCTGGGCGTATGTGGAAAAGAACTGTTTGTCGTCGACCACAGACATGATGGTGTGAAGAAGAATGGGAGTAGGTTGTGGAAGAGTAGGTGGTTTAAGTGCGACTTGCACAGTGAGTGATCGGGCACGGCTGGGTGGGTTGGTCAAATAACGAAATGAGGAGGGGTTTTTTTTAAGTGGGTGGAAATCAAAGTGTTTCTTGAAGAAGAAACGTAAAAGTATGCTGTGATTTTTAGAAGTCTCTTGGGAGATTGTTTGGCATGTGTTAGTTGAATGGAATGGCTGCGAAAGGAGAATGGATAATAGAGCTCCATAGTGTCTCATAAGGTCAAACCAACGGTCCAACCAACTACCCATTGAATAGTTTTTATGGACATTTTTGGACATCAATTTGAAGTTTAAATTCGATTAGTCAATAAAAAAAACAAATATCGTTTGTTAAGCAACAATTTCAAAACTTTCCCCGGATCATTCACAATACCTCTCCATATTCTCTCCATGCCAAGTTCGCACACTTTAGCATCTACTTGGCGATATCATGGACCACCTATAAACTACACCTTCTTTACCACCAACCCACCAAATCTTCACCAATCCTTTCAATTCCACCACAAGGGACACATTGACGCTCTCAGATCATTCCATTCATCCGGAACCGCTCGATCCACCCAAAAATCCACTATGAGCTTCTTCAAGTCATTCAGAAACAAGTACTCCAGCCTTCCCCAGGATGACGGGGCTCCGCTTCCCCCTCCTGCCACGGAACCCAACCAAAGCGGCTTCAAAACAAGACTCCAGAAACTCAACCCATTTAGGTCCCTGAATGTGTACCTAGAGGACGACGAGAACTACGTGACCTCCGAACCGGGCTACTTCGAATTGCTGAGATGGGACAGAATGCTCTTGTTTGCATTGACGTTTGCCGGCTCCATGGCGTGCTGGCTTATTTGCATCTTCTTGTTCCCCGTGCTCTCGCTCAAACCCAGAAAGTTCGCTGTGCTTTGGTCTCTAGGCTCGATCTTCTTTTTGGTCAGTTTCGGCGTCCTCCAAGGCTTCAAGGAGTACATCATCCACTTGTGCTCATCTACGCGTATTCTTTTCAGCATTACCTTCATCACATCCATTGTGTTGACGTTGGTGTCCAGTTTGTCGTTGAAGTCGACTCTACTTTCTATAATCTTTGCAGTGATTCAGTTGATCGCGGCTCTCTGGTACACTGTCAGCTATTTCCCCATGGGCCGCCAGACGCTCAATTTGGCGTCCACCGTGGCCAGAGGCCAGGTCGAGTCCTGGGTCAACTCTTAAGGAAATGCGCTCTCGAGACCTTTCTGAACCACCTTCACAATCGCAGCGTTGGCTTCGGTGTCGTTGGCCAAGGCCTCCTGAAGTCTCTCCTTACGCAGCACCACCTGAGGCGACTTTGGCGTCTCGAGCTTGGCCAAGTTCTTGAGCGCTTGCAACGCAAGCACGTACTTGGCGTCCTCAATATGTAAATCAAACGAAAGCTCCCACGTGAATCTGTAGTTGTCGGCCTCCTTGGTCAATTGTGTGACAAATCCCTCCATGTCTTTGAAAAGATGATCGCTGGATTTGAGGTCCTGGAGCACCTTGGCGCCCAATGGGTCGGCATCGTCTTTTTCAGATTCGACTCTGGCGATCATCTCGCTCTTTTTCTTAACATTAAGCGGCTTGCTCTTCTTGTTCTTCTTCTTCGATGCCTTGTCGTCGCCATTCTGGGTCTTGTGGTCGTTGTAGATCTCCCAATAGAGCTTGAAGAGGCCTTTAACGGCACGAACGTAAATGGGAGTAGAGTGGAGTTTGTCCTCCCACTTCAACGTGTCAATGTAATCACGAGGAGTACCTCTTCTCATGCAGTAGGAGTGGAAGTCGAATTGGTCCAGACTGAAGGTCTTGAAAACCTTGAGAATGGCCAAGTACCGCTTCAATGCCAAACCTCTGTAGATGTCAGCCTGGTCAACAGCCTCGGCAATTTCGCCCTGAGGAGTATCTTCCGGCAAGGCCTTTAATTCAGCGGTCTTTTGTTCATATAGTCTTTGGTAGGCCTCAGCACTTTCCACCAAAACCCAGTTGGCTTGCATGGTGTGCAAGTCTTTAAGGCCATTCACGGCACTCTCATCTAGCTTGGTGAACAACGACACGACATCCACAGCCTTGTCAACATGGTTGGCTCTCAAGAGGTACTTGGCAGCCTTGGAGTTCACAAATCTATCTTGCAAATCCAAAAGACGGCCCTCTTCCATGATATCCTTGGCCTCCTCCAACTTGCCGTAATGCTTGGTGATTCTCGCCTTGAGAATGTACAATTCCACAAGGGTAGGGCTGTGGTCGAGGGCTTTTTGAACGTGGTCCATGGCGGTGTCCAACTTGTTCAAGTAGAGGTAGTGCTGGGCCAAGAAGTAGGAGGCCCACACGAACACAGTAGGGTTGTGCTTTGGTACCTCCTCGGCAAGGAAGGTCTCGACGATTTTCTGAATAACCGCCAACTTCTTCTTGTTCTTGTAGAGGGGCTTGACGTTGACGAAAGTCGCTGGAACACCTCTCTTCAACTGGGCCAAGACGTACAACGATGCTCTTCTTTCAAACTCAGGGTGGGAAGCAGGCAAAAACGTCAATGGAAGGTACTGTGCTGGGTCACTTTTCGGGTAAAATCTGGCCAACTTGTCGTAAAGCTCAAGACGCTTTTCAATTGGTCCAGAGGCCGTGCCCAAGCAGGCTTCCAAGAGGTTGTAGTAGCCCACATCGTCAGGGTTTCTCTGCAACAACTGACGGTACACCACAGACGCCTCCTTCTGTTTGCCCAAAAGCATGAGGTAACGAGCTCTGTACTCCATGTACGACGTCATGTCTCTAATTTCCTCCTTGTCGGCTTCAAGATCCTCCAAGGCTCTACCGTAGTTTCCAGCTTCAGCAATGACGCTGTTCTTGTACAACACACACTCGCTCTGTTCGTAGCGGTCCTGTTCCTGAAGATGCTCCTTGATGATCTTTTCGATCTTGGCCAATGTGTTCACACAAGCATCGTAGTCCTTGTTCAAGTGGTGAGAAACAGCCACAGCGGTCCAGTTGGCTCTGTAACCTGGCTGGGACTCCAAAAAGGCCTGTCTGCTGGTAGTCAAGTTCTTGAAATCACGAACCTGCGATTGCAAAAGAGAAAGGTCTCTTTGAACCATGGTGTTAGGCAGGCCATTGTCCACAGCAGCCTTGAACCACTTTGCAGCCTCAGCGTAGTTCTCGACGGTTCTGTAGTAGATACCGGCCAAGTGGTCGACCAAGTAGTTTCCAGCATCTTTAGCAGTGGCCTTCAAAATGTACGATTCGGCGTCGTCCTTGTGACCCAAGAAGTAGTTGCAACAACCTTTCAAAGCGAGCGATTCGCCATGGGACAGGTTCTTCTTGAGGTTCTGGTCCACGAGCTTCAAGGCCTTTTTGTACTGCTTGCCTTCATAGAGCTTCAACGCTTCACGGGCGTTGGCGTCTTCCTTGTTGGCGAAGATCGGCTTCCTTAACACCATTATGGGTCGTTGTTGGAAATTTTGAACCTCTGTGCACGTCGCACCTTGAAGTAGTGTTGATGTGGAGGGGCACAATCTGCAGATCGGGTGGGTTGATGGAGTCGAGGTTTTATATGTATTTTGAATTGGTGATTTTTGTGGGTTCGGCTTTTTGTGTGCATTGTTGGTGCAAGTGGCTCTTTGTCCAGTGCACAGAGGCCTCGGAAATGGCAAATGAGCATTGAGATATTGTCACCGGGGAGTGTAAAGAGTCTGAGGAGTTAATCGAGGAAATGCGTTAGTTTGATTGAATTGTTGATTGAATTGATGAAAAAAACTGGAATGCTTTGAGTCGAGGCGTTGTTGTAGGGTTCATGTTGGTGGTATTTCGCAGCCATACAGTGTACTGGAAGAAGTGGCTGATCATTTCGAAATTTGATGTCACCAATGAGACATCAATGAGACGTCAGAGGGTGACTACCGCAAAAAGATAGTGTTTGTTGGACCAACTTGATTTGAACTTTGAATATAGTTGTACGTTGTGCACTAGTAACATAGTAAAGATGCGGTACAACGTGAGATGAAGCATCGACTACCAAGATAATAGCGAGAAGTTTTTTCACCAAATGATTAGTAACTGTCTATATTCACCCAATAGGCGTTGCATTATTGAAATCTGTCGGCTGCTTTCGTAAACAATATCAACCATTGATACAATGTCTCACCTCATCCCAATAGAGGCCTAGCACCACAGGGTGAGGGACAACTGAAAAATTAAGAGCTTAATATCAGATATTTGGCTGTAAGATCAATAAATATCAAATTTAAACCACATTCAGCAAACGACTCCGCCCTCTTGTGCCTTGCCCGATCCGGCCTTACCCCCGGCCTTATACCGCCCCGTGGACCTCCATCCACATACTCCACATACCCCTAATTCTTCCAAATTCACCAAACACCAAACCACCCAATCCCAACCAAAAATCACTTTTTCAAAAAGAACCCCTACCCCACACAAACGATCTTACGACTTAGATCCACTGGTTTGCAGCCGCGGTGTGTGCAGACCCACATCAACTCTTCCTACCACTTCTTTCTAGATGCCATGTCTGACGACCGGAAAAGAATCCGTGTGGCGTGTGACACGTGCCGCCGAAAGAAAATCAAATGTGACGGCAAGGTCCCGTGCCTGAATTGCCGAACCGCCAACGAACAGGTGTGCCATTATGCGGAAAGACAGATTAAGAGACAGAGAACCATGAACAAGGATCCAAAGATGCTGCTTAGTGCCCGGATGGAGCGGCTTGAGGAGATCATCTTGGATCTCAGCGAACGACTCGGTGGTCTGGCCGAAGCACGGAAGCTTCGGGATCTGGATGGTTCAGGGTCCGATTCCGAAGAAGAGTATACCAGAACACCCAGTGCCAGTGTGGAAGCTACAGGCAAGCGGGATGGCCGCGGCGCCTTGCCATTGAAGAATTTGACGCTCTTCTTTGGTGCCCATTCTTTTGCTAACATCGTGTCCCTGAGTCTGATCCAATGGATGGAACAGCAGGTGGGTGATGAACAAAAGGACGTGATCAAGCCATTGACCAACATGCCGCATTTGTTCCAATGCAAGGCGTGGTCATTTTACCTGAAGTGGCTAGATCCGCCGGCTTTGAAGCCCGAGGAGAAGCTGAGGCTTATGACCAGACCTTTTCCGGAAAATTCGACCCTCGTCTTTGGCATTTTGGATATGTTCATGACGCCCATTCTCCGTATGGAAGGCGTGGGCGATATAAAGCGTATAAGGGCCATGTTTGAGCGTTACTACAACAGCAAGCATCGTTTTACTACACCAGAGCTTTTGATGATGACGGTGTCTTTCGCATTTCTGATTTTCATGCGTTTTGAAACCAATGTGGGGCCTCAGGAACGTGTCAATGACGGCACCGAGTGGTCCGACAGGAGTCTACGGGATCTAGAAGATAGCCTCATGACCAATGCTATATACTACTACAATCGGCTTAGTGTCGTTGGTGGAGGAATTGATACAATTGAGGCGATTCTTCTTTTCACCGGCTACCTTGAATGCCACTGGTTTTCTCCAGAGGTCAACTACATGCTTCTAGGGCCGGCTATTCGATATGCACAGGATATGGGTCTTCATCGGATAGAGAGCTACGAAGATTTGGACTTGGACACTGCTTCTCACAGAAAGCGTATATGGTGGGTATGCTGCTATATGGATATGGAGGTGTGTTTCAGAAACGGCAAATCTCCCATCATCAACAGAGCAGATGTCAGCCCAGAGCTTTTGGACATTAATGTGACTGAGATCACTACTTCTGAGACCCCTCTTATTTGTTCGCTTCACAACTACTTCTCAGACATCTTGCTGATCAGATCAAGAAGCTATGAATTGCTCTTCTCTGCTACTGCAAACGTGAGAAACTTTGCCCTGTTGCTGAGAAACTTGGATTCGTTAAACGCACAGCTATATGCTGCCGCCAACAGACTCCCCCAGGTCATGAAACCCGTCTTCTTCAACGACTCAGCCTTCCACATTTTCAACCACAAAGATAAGGTTGAGAACGAAATCAGCTGGGCTGTCAGACTCACCTACTTCTACCATGTCATGCTCATCAACAGACTTCCTCTGATGTTTACTTTTGAAGACGAGGAGGAGGACAGGAAAATGTATTACAGGAACCTTTCGCTTAACAGCGCCAGGACCATGACGCATCTTTTGAAGAGCAGTGAGAGTGCAAACCTCAGCAACTCCTTCTTTGAATGGGTGCTTTTCTTTCCGTCCAGTGCGTTCTTGCATCTTTCAACCGCCGTGATGAAAAATCCACACGCCCCCGACGCTTACAGCGACTTAATGCTACTTATGGAAACATCCATGGACTTCTTGAACCGCCGAGGGATCGCTAACTCCGCTGATCTCATGAGCAAATTCAAGCGATACTCATTTACACTGGTGATGTTCAAGATTCTTCTTCGCATTGTCATTACAATCTTCGAGCGCAAGACGGGAATAAGTGTGCTTGACGGGAACTCGCCTCTCAATGCACACCTCGAATCTGCAAAAGAGATGTTTCCAGAGTTGTTTGGCTCAGTGGAAGATTTCCGTCTGAAGGTTATTTCTGTTATTCCACAAGTTACAGGCCACTCGCCCTTTGTCGACGAGCCAAAGAAGTCACCTGCCTCTTCAGTATCGTCGTTCAACAGCGGCAAACGGCTGCTACTTCATCCAGAAATGCCACTGCGTCTGATGGAAGGCAACATATCCCTTAGTCCATTTCCAAATCCTAGCCACTTTGCTCATGAGGATATCGACATGCTTATTAGAGCACAGATGAGAGAACTACCTAACGTATTTTTTGACACTCCATAAGTGGGGCATTTGGCTGGGCCCTTCAACTTCCCGGATCGGCACAAAACATCGGCACCTATTTAGCCGAGTGATCTCGGAGTATTACGTATTTGTGTCCTGTCACTCGGGTGCAAGAAATTGCCGGCCTCCGAAAAAAGGCTACGATATGCGTTTCCGGCCGTATGCACATTATTCACGAGGCTACTTCTAGAATTGCAGATTACGGAAAAAACGGCGCCTTCTTAAGCAACTACAGAGTCAAATAAGGTCACAAGTTGCCCCACGGCTGTCCCTTGCTTTTGTTCCACCACCACCCCAAGAACAGTTATACGCAGGCGAGGGGCTTTCGATTCGATCCTCTTTGGTCTTGGTTCCGAATGGTGACTACTAAGCCTGTGATTTTTCGGAGTCCATTGAGTGTGCTAAAAATTACCCCTTTGAAACACTCCACGCCTTTGTGAGCATAAACTTTGCAGCCATTATTCTCAGGCCCCGCCGGCTCGTTTCTAGCACACCCGTGCACCACCGGTCTCGCCTGCGCCATCTACTCATCACATACATAAGCTCAGCCGAATCCAGATCCTAGGGGATTTTGAATATTTTGACCTAAATGAGTGGAATCGAGAAGGGCAAACGGGATCGTGTTGCCAAGGCATGCGCCACATGTCGAAAGAAAAAGATCAAGTGCAATGGTAAAAACCCATGTGATCATTGCAAGAACCTCAGTCTACCGTGTGAGTATCCGAATAACAAACCCAGAAAGTCACGCTCCAAGGTGCTGCTGGAAATGCTACAGAATAGACTCGATCGCCTCGAGCTGCTTATGCACAAAATGATCGATCAAATGGGTGGAATGGAGTCTCGAAACGTGCCATCACCTGCTCATGATATCCGTCCTAGTGCCGATACTCTGTCTACATCTTCCGAGCTGCCGTCTCTGGATGCCAGCTTCAAGGACGAGGATGTTGAGTCTCAGACTTTTCAAAGCAACGGCCTGGTTGCTAAGCGTACTAATGGTACGCTGCTGCCTGAGAAGCGGCCTAGAGATACATTTTTCCAGCAGGCCAAGTCGATTTTGTCGAAAACTATTGATGAGAGCTCTGAGGAAACACAAAGACCGCATCAGATTCTACAATACAAGGGTTTGCACTCCGGTATTGTTTATATTTTCAGCTCGCAGAGTATTGAGTGGATCAAGTCTCGTCTTAGGCCAGAAGACCATAACATCGTGACGCCATTTCAGACCCTCCTTTTTTACTTCAATGCTTGGAAGCAGCTATTCCTGAGTGTGTGGACGGATGTGAAAACCTACCCCAAAGAGGATGTCAAGAAGCTCAAAGAGGGCGTGTACCCTCACGACAAACAACTCACATTTGAGCTTCTTAAACAGTATGATTGCATCACTTTGGCGGATTTCATTTGTCCCGTGGAGGAGGTGAGAGCCTTGTTTGTCAAATACTACGCCAATAAGCTGTGTCCCAAACTGAAGAAGTACCGCTTTTCGTACTCCGAATTTATGCTTATGAACTTGAGTTTGGCGATTTCGATCTCTGTGGCTATTGACCAGAAGAGCACTGATGTTGTGACCCCTGGCCTCAGTGAATGCCCCAAGCTCGAGTCTATGACCATTGAGCTGCTTGCCACTTTACAAGAAGAGATGTTCTTGAATTCTGTGTTTTATTTCCACACCATCAGTGCCGTTAGTGAGGGCATGGTCACCATTCAAGCCCTTTTGTTACTTGCTACGCATCTAGAGACCACCTGGGTTATCACGGATGTCAACTACAGTTTTGTGAGCATGGCACTGCGATACGCTCAAGAGATCGGCCTTCATCGGTTCGAGACTTTCCAGCACCTACCTGAAGAGGAACGAAACGCTAGAGGTAGACTTTGGGCTGCCGTACAATGCTTTGACGTGGAGATCAGTCACAGAACAGGTAAACCGCCATCGGTCAATATGGTGGATGTATCGACTTTGACACCAATGGATCCATGGCATGTCCCTTCGCTTTTGTCAACAAACGAAGTCAAGAAATTGCAGCTGCAATGTGGCGCTAAACGTTACTCTTTGGAAGAGATCTACGTGCACTTTTATGTTTACAAACTTTCCCAACTTCGAGCATTTTCCTACTTCCAGCTTTTCAGTGCAACAGTCAAGTACGATAGTCTTAAGAGTATTCAGGACATTGTCAGTCTGTTGAACAATGAATTGGACTCCTTCTTGAACGAGATGAAGGAGGAGTATCGCCCAAGACACTACTACGAGCCCCAATTTAACTCTGCCATTGAAAGGTTTTTCAACGATAGGAAAATGACCAGAGCTGATGATAGTCTCTTATCACTCCATCTCACATTCTTTTATCAGTTGATGACTATCAACAAGGTGCCTTCTCAGATTGAACCGAACGAAGGAACGTTGCCATATGAAAATACTGGCTACAGGAAGTTATCGTTGGACAGTGCCCGGACTATCCTCCATATTATGAGAGGTGTGAATAGGCGCTGTTTACCATTCTTCGGGTTGAATTGGATGATATACTATCCTTTTGTTGCTGCTATGAACTTGCTGGCAAAGATTTTCAATCATTCTGACGACGAAGACAGTTACAAGGATTTACAATTGCTCATTGATTTGTCGATGAATTTCTTCAACCACTACAGTCAACAAGCCAGTCAACCATCGACCAGGTTGCTTTACTTGAGATCGCATCTTATCGACACCCTTGTGAGAATTCTCTTGCGAATCTGCATCAAAGTTTTCGAGAGCACCACAGGATACGATCTCCTTAGCGGAAATCCTGCTCTTAGAGCTCACTTGGAACATGTCGAAAAGGAGTTCCCGCAATTCTACACCAAGATCAATGACTCCACAGATTTGGTGAATCTTATGAATTGCATGCATAACACTCATGAGGTAAAGTTCCGTGAACATAAGTACACTCCGCTGTACGACACATCATCTAATGCGTCAAACCAAGAAGGATTCACTCCAACTTATATGGAGAACTTTGAAAGTCAATCTCCAAGAAAAAACGATCCCACCCTTTCTAATATAATTCATCCAGTGGATTTCCCCAGCGTGAGGGAATCAGACAGAAAAGATTTCAACATCGACGACGATTTCCTTCTTGCCGCTGTGAACCAGGATTTCCTGACTATTCCTAACTTTTTCTTTGATAATGGGCTTTAATATGTACATAGCATTTACGATCATGATTATATAAAATTAGTTACACCAATTCTTAGCTTAACGAGTGCGGATAACACCAGCGGCGATCAACATGTTGATCTTCTTGGCCACTTCTGGGTTTCTCATGTGGTCTTGCAAAGCAGCTGGGTTCTCTCTGGCCTGGCCCAAGATACCTTGCATAACAGGATCCTGCAAGATCTCAACAATCTCTGGGTCCTTGGACACTCTCTCCATGGTCTGCTCTGGGGTCTCGCCCTCGATGGAGGAGAATCTCTGAGACATGGCCTTGTTCAGCAACTGGTCAATCTCAGCCAGGTTCTTACCACCGTTCAACTCCTGGTCCTTGGTACGGGCCTCGGTCAAGGTATCAATGACATGGGAGAATTCCTTCATGGCCAACTGGGCGTTAGCCTTTCTGATGTATGCTCTGATGAAAGTTGGGTCCAACTTGATGGCCTTGTTGCAGTCATCGACGGCATCTGGGAAGGACATTAGCTTGGCCAAAGCGGCAGCTCTGTTGGAGTAGCCTCTAGCGTCCTCTGGAGCTCTCTTGACCATCTCAGTGTAGGCCTTGACAGCGTTAGGCCAGTCGCCCTTGGTGAAGTACTCCTTACCTTCCAATCTGGCCTCCTCGGCCTTTTCAGGGTTGACGTAGCTCTCGGCTTCTCTGGTCTTGATGTCCTTCTGGGTGTTTCTCAACTTGGTCAAGACATCTGGGGTTCTGTGCTCAGTCAAGGACTTGTCGAAGAACTTGGCGGCGCTCTCCAAGTCGTCCTTCTTCAAGTAACAGTTACCAATTCTAGCAAAAGACTTGGCAATGATCTTGTAGTCGGCTCTCATGCCTCTGCCCTCATCGACAGCCTTCTCACAGGTAGCAATGGCAGCATCGTAGTCTTGCTTCTCGAACTCGGCGGCAGCTCTGTTGTTCAAGTAAGTGATATCCTGATGAAGCTCCCAGGCCTTGTTGTACTTTTCAATGGCCTCGTCAAACTTTCTCTGCTTGTACAAGGCGTTACCCTCAGCCTTAGCGGCATCGGCATCAGCCTTGGAGGAGTCCTCCATCTCGACATCCTGAGACTCAGCCTCTGGCTCCTTGGCAGCGGGCTTTGGCTCTTCCTTCTTTGGCTCCTCCTTCTTTGGTTCCTCCTTAGGAGCACTCTCAGTAGGATTGGACTGGCCAGCCTGGGCCTGTTGAGCAGAATCCTTATCAAACATGTTCAAGTCGATACCCATCAACACACCCATGATGGTCATCATACGTGGGTCGGAAAGCATGGTCTGCATGCCCGCCTTGGGGTTCTGCTGCAACTGCAAAACCTTGCCCACGAGGTTAGGGTCGTTCATCATTTCAGCGGTCTTGGGGTTCTCCTTCAACTTTTGGATCAAGTTAGGGTCGGAGAACATCTTGCCCAAGCCCATGTCGCCTTCGGCGTTACGGCTTCTTTCGGCTTCCTCAACAGCAGAAAGACCGCTCTTGGCCATAGCGTTAGCTGGATCCAACTCCAAGGCCTTGGAGTAAGAAACCTGAGCATCGTCCAAGTTGCCCAAACCGTACTGAGCAGCACCCACACGGTTGTAGCCCTTTGCCCACGTGGCGTTGATTTCCACACATTTCTCGGCGTCCTCGAGAGCTTTACCAAAGTTCTTCAAGGAAGCGTAGCAAGCTGATCTGTTGGAATACAAGACGTGGTTGGGCAGTTCGGAGGCTTCAATGGCATTTGTGAACTGCTCAATAGCTTTGTCAAACTCCTTGGCAGCGAAGAATTTGTTACCCTCGGCTTTGTATTCGTCAGCGGACATGGTGGTTTTTTGGTAGTAGTTTTGTGGTGATGCTGGGGAATATATATCTGGACTGTGCGCACCTGTGCATTTCTAGAAGCTTCCGAGACCACCATGAGCAGATACTGGGAGGGTAGGGTCGGAAAAGCTGAAATTAAGATAATAAGAAGAGTGGTTGGTTAGTAGGCTTTAAAAAAAAGTTGATTGAGCTGAAAAGTTCGGATCTTGTGGCGGTTCATCCTTGTCATGTATCAGTGTAACCTGAAACTTATCCTGCTCGCCAATCAGCTATAGGTATTCTTCACGGATAGTATATTTCAACGGTAAAGTATAAGAAGGGCCTCAAGAATGGTTTTGCCTGAATTGTGATCGTTGCATGTTGTTCGTTGTTTGTTCTTCGCAACCAAGTGTATTTTGCAACCACTGCGCGACCAAACCTTAGCACTTCGGTGAATGCGGCCTGAGCCAGAGCCTTATCGGATTTAGCATATCCAAATCGATAACAGCCTCTTTACTCCCGCAAGTTGGATCTGTAGCTAACCAGTGGCCAGCCGTTGGGGTATCCCGATTAGTGTCCGCTCACCAAGTTCAACTACCGCTCATGCTAAATGTAGAGTCGACATCGGATCATCTATCTGTTTCCCTGGATCTGGTTTCTGATTTGCTCAAGCGAAGCATTCACAAGCTCAAGCTCGTAAGCTGGTCCGTATCCATGGCACTTCTCGCTGCCCTTCAACAACTGCATAACCTCGTACATGTCAACACCTTCGTAGCCTTCTTCCTCGGCCTTAATCTGTAAATAGTCCCAAACGGCACCCACCGCAAGCACCTTGCGCCCTGGGTTTTCGGGCTGCTCGTAAACCTTGTTCACCGTGTCAGGATTCACATTGTGCTTAGCAACATCAACCATATGGTTGATGAACTCCTCCTGTGAGCTGGGGAAAGAAAACCTCGAGTTTTCAAAGTCAATGCCTCCTGCCATGGGATCGCCGCCAGTGCGTAGAAGGTTCTCGTCCGACTTCGCCAGCTTGATGTCCTGAAGCACCTTCAAAAGCTTCTGTCTCTCCTCCTCACTCTGGAGCAACTTCGACTCCAAGTCCTTCAATTCCGTTCTCTTTCTTTCACGGAAGGCACGTTGTGCGAGTCTATTATGAGCCTTCTTCTTGATCTTGAGCTCGTCCTCGTTGAGCTCCAGGTCATCCTTGTTCATCACAGCCTCTTCCTTGTCGGACAAAATACGTGCACGAGGCTTCTTAGTTTTACCACCTTTTTCGTTGCTGTAGTCGTTCGGGGACCCCAGGTGCAATGAGCTGTCCGTGTTGTTTCCCACACCGTTGGGGTTTTGAGCCCCTTGGTTCCACTGAGAGGCGAAGTTTGCGCCGTCTCTATCTCCCGAAAGTTGTGTTGAGCTCACAGACTCAGCTCTTAAAAACGGTTCCTGTGGCACATTGGATACGTAGTTGATCTGGGAGGCTCCGCCGTTCCCATTGGGGTAACCGTCCACATAAGCGCCGTTGGGGTGGCCTTGCCACTGAGGAATAGGGGAAGAATGCTGCTGCTTTATGTAAGGCGCTGGAGACCCCGGCTTGATATAAGACTGAGGAGAACCTTGGTACATGGGACCATTTTGTGGTGAGTACTGTTGAAAGTGCAGCGGATGGTTCTGTTGGTACTGCTGCTGTTCAAAAAGCCGGATGTTTTCTTGATTAAGGTCAAGAGGCTGGTCAATATAATCACAGATATCGTCCTTGGGACCCTCCTGGGGGAAGGGGTGGTCACCAACGTGGGAAAAAGACATGATATCTGAGATAGTGATGGACTCGATTAGATGAAAGGATGATTAGGCCGCACCCGTACCTCTCTTACTAAGCCTAGGCCTCACGGCGTAGCCACGGGACAACGGGGGTTGAGGGCCTTTGTACCGTAGATTCCCTTGTTGTTTCTTTTTGCTTTGAGTTCTAGATGTATGATCTAGAAAATTCTGTTTTTGTATGACGGAGCTGTCAGTGCTCGGCGATAGGCTACATTTGGTTATATTGTTGTTGCAAACGGCTGCGAAGAAACACAGGCGGCTGAAATTGCTGGGTGATACTCACGTTTCGGGTTAGTATATATGATGGCTGAAATGTCGCCAATAAATATGCCAGCATGTGCTGGGAAAGTCTGTAGTGAATGGGAAGTGTATACTGTGGTCTGGAGCAGCCAGGCGTCCAGACATGGTGAAGCAAGGAGAAGCGCAAGAAGGGTCTGCAAGCGCTGGTAAATTCTGTCGTTTGTTCTCCAAGATCTTTGAATCCGGGGAATAGAGTGCTTGCAGAGTCTGTGTGGGCCAATCGTAAATCAGCTGATTTAAGCGAACAAGGTTTGCTCAATAAAAAGTCAATCTGAGTGAAAAACTCCTAGGTGTACTTTAAGAGCCCTTGCATTAAACAGAGTTTTTTGCATCGAGGAAGGACACAAAGGATAGCCGACGAGGCACAAGAGGCTTTCTTGCCCGTTGATGGAGAAAACCGTTGGAGGAAACCGTTGGTGCTGGAGATTAATAAGGTATGCGGCGTGTTGATGTGAGTGTTAAGGGACAACGTGTTGGAGGTCCCTTTTTTTAAAACAGGGAGATCTGGTTGAGAATAGGAGCTCTGCAGCTGTCATTTGTAAAGCTGTGACTGGACAGGCTGGTTCTTGTCGTGATACCAGTATGGCTTGGCATGTCTTATGCGTAATTCAAACTGGGCTTTAGACTTCACCAAATGGGGGGCCGTGATCCAAGGCACGAGAGGTGTTCGATTGAGGGATTTCAATCGATACTAACACACCAGATCTTCAGGGCTGTCTTTTCAGTGTTCTGCTTCACGTTCGAGATATCGAGGTCGCCCGAAAATGCCACAAAAGCGGCAAAGACGATGGAATCGAGAACTCGCCCCAGTAACGGCCATTCCAAGCCTCGAATCGCTCGATGGCTTCCACTGAGACGGCATCTTCGGTCAAAGTGGTATCCTAAGATACCACTCCAAAAGCCACAAAGCGCCGTTTCAAAGCACCAGACTCCCTTAAATCCTTTTTCATATTGCAAATGCTGAGGCTAATACCAATCCAGGCTACGTTCCAGCCCTCACAAGACTGAGCCACTGGATCTTCTGGAGCACCATCACCACAAGCACACACAAAAACGCCACGCCCGTAAGCACCAACACAGCCGTGCGTTGCCTCCGCAACTCCTTCATCATCTCCTGCCGCTTCAGCACCTTCCTGGTGCCGGCTTTCTCCGGGTCTCCTGTCACCACAGGCCGGCTTTCCTTGCTCAGTTCAGCGTATCCAATGAAATACGGCTCGAGCATCTCGTGAGCTAAATCTGAATGGGCCACGTCATCAAAAGCCTCCGAGGCATCAACGCCTCCACAGTCTAGAAGCACCTCCACACCGCCAGGGTGCTCAGTAGCGAAGTTGGTGACATCGTACACCTTGCCATGGATGGTCATCCAGAGGTCGTTGGGCGACGAGTGTTTTCTGATTTCCAGGGCCAGAAGCGTGCGTCCACCAAGGGTGCATTTTGGTCGTAGCGCCTCTGCAGCCATGGTAGCAGAGTAGTACGAAAATGGGAACCCAGGGCTGGTGATGGTGTAGCTGGGTCGTGCGCGACCGGGTCGATTATTGGGTATCCTAGGTTGGGGGTACATTTTGGGGGTGCCAGTAAATTGGGGGACTGATTTGGGGGGAAGCGGGGTTATGATATATGGATTAAATTTGAAAAAAAGGAAAAATCAATCACCTGCTATATCAGACTCTGGTCTGTTGGATCCTCGGAAGTGGTCTGGTGCAGCAGCGCTTAACTAAATGGGATTTCAGGCAGATCTTTGATTTTCAGCGGCTTCGCTGGATAATAATTTTTCACTTCTTCCAGAAACCGAACCCTGCTATAAAATATTTTGCAAAGACGTTTTCACTCGTTTTATACCAGCCATTATCCTTTGAGTACTTGTTTCTTTTCTCTTGTGGCTTCTGCTTGGTTTTGCTTGTTTTCTTATGCTCGCAGGAATGGCTGCAAATGAAGCTTGTGGTGGACCAATGAAAGCGTCCAAAACACGCTTGGATGTTTAGTAATTCCCTCTTTGTTATGACCTCCGTTCGTACGGCCGCCGCCTGCCATTGTTCCAAATCGCTAATTACTAAACAATAGCTGTTCGCAATCCGGGTCTATGTTTCTCGGAGTACCCATCCGAGGCGTTCAAATGGGTGACTTTTGGGTATTAGGCTTTGTGGAGGGGAAGGGCCGGCAGACGGAGATTTTCGATGTTTTGATATTCTTTCATTTCGAACAAACAATCCATGAATTCAAGGGTTGCTGGCTGGCTGTTGATTGTTAACCAGTCCTCATTGTTCTGGATCATAGACCTCCTCCCACCAGACTACCGGAAACGTCCAAACTTTATATAAGGTTTCGAACATCGCCTGTTGCCGATCACGTCGCTCAGACTGTCTGGCCGACACTTGTGGGTCTATAACTACAGCTAATCGGACGAGATGGAGATATCGCGTTGCCTGACTAAAGTGAATTCTCAGACAATGCCATTGACAATTGTTGGCCCAACACCCGTCCGATCGGAGATTTATTATGGGATGGAAGGCACGGATCGATGCATGTAAATAGAGTTCAGATTCGAGGCGGTTGGAGGTGGATCTGGCAGCCTAGACCGGTACCGAGGATGTCAGAGTCAGAGATGGAACCGAAAGGCCAAATTTTTCAACCTTCAATGGCAACTTTTTCTTAGATTAAGATAGGGGCTCCACTGGTACGTAATTTAGTCGCTTTAGTCAGCAAGAGCCGCTTGGGTTGGCAGAAATCTGTTATATACGAGATTGGGCGGCTCCAAGCCAAGAGAACGCCCAGTCATCGGTGCTGCTTCGGTTGCAACTGCCAAAAACTCGCTCATATCGGGGAACAAACGAGATGGGCTTTTGGAAGTGGTAAAAATTAACGGGATTCTGGTGAAACTGAGGTATTGTTCTTGTTTGTGTGGGAGACAATACTGAACCGTTGAGGGTGGTCCACCAACGCTGGCTTCAACCAGAAAACAACATACCGAAAACCAAAATCAAATTAAAAAGAAGCAAAACCACAGTATCACAAAAAACGACACATTTAATAAACTCTTCCCAATCGCTAATCCCTCCCACCCCTCGTGTGAGCTTCGCAGCCGTTCAGGGTCCACCGACCCATGTAGTCCCCCACATACCAAATAATAATATCGCCCCGCCCCCAAAAAACGTCCCAATATCCCCCAAAACTGCCCCCACTGTCCCCCACCCTTATATACTGCCCTCCACTCGCCACACCCCACCGTATCCCCCACGTCTCCACCGTCCCTGTTCGCAGCCGTGCCAATCCACCACAACCACCAAAACCAACCAAACCAATCGAAATCGAAAAATTCCCCCATCCTTCAACACCATGCCCCAACTTTAAAAATCAACCACCCCTTTTTCCCCAAACGGCCCGGGGGACCCTGGATCAAAAGAGCCTCCCTGGTGTACCGATGCACCCACATCACCAACGCCCAAGAATTTCTTACCACCATGTCGCTTCCTTCGTCGAAAAAGACCCACAGCGAACGGCACAAGCAGATTTTGAAGCTGCTCCTCCGTGAGCCTGCTAACAAGTCCTGTGCCGATTGCAAAACCGCCCAACACCCCCGCTGGGCTTCCTGGAACCTCGGTTGTTTTGTGTGTATTCGTTGCTCTGGAATCCACAGATCTATGGGCACACACATCTCCAGGGTCAAATCGGTGGATCTTGACGCCTGGACGGACGAACAGGTGGAGCTGATGTTGAAGTGGGGCAACGCTAAAAGCAACGGTTATTGGGAAGCCAAGCTTCCTGAGGGCTACATTCCAGACGGCCTGAAGATCGAAAACTTCATCAGAACCAAGTACGATATGAAGAAGTGGGCTGGTCCTGGAGCGCCTAATGCCGGCAACGTGGCTCCTAAAGCGGCGCCCGTGGTGAATAACAATTCTGGAAGCTCGTCGTCCGCCTCGGTGTTGAACCAACCAAAACCAGCAAATCAGGGTGCTCAGCCAAGAACTACAAGGGCTCCGCCGCTGGAGCTGCTTCTAGACGATGATTGGGGAACGTTCTCGCTGGCTCTGCCTTCCCCAGCACCGAAACCAGCGTCGATCGCTACTAGAGGATCCACCCAGCTGCTTCCAGCTCAAACAAAGCCGCAACCTCAGGCACCCAAGCAGCTTCAAACTCAGGAAACAGCGCCTCCAGTGCCTCAGAAGAACGGCCGCACGGACCTAAAAAAGCTGATCTTGTCGCTCTACTCGCTGCCTTCTTCGTCCAACTCAAACGTTTCGCTGTTCTCCAGCAGCCAGACCTTCCAGGCTCCTCCGGCGCAAAGAGCGCCCCAGCAGCAGAACACAGGCTCCTTGGGCGATCTTGCCGGCCTCTACTCCCAGACGCCCGTTTCCACCCCTGCTCCTCGTGAACCGGTGAACCAGCTTTCGGACTCCTTGCATGGCTTGAGCTTCTCGTCGCCAGGCTTGAACCAACCCAAGCCCCAGGAGCCCAAACGCTCCACCCAGGCACCTCCCAAGCCTGCGCAAAAGTCCCCGTGGGAAAGCAACAATAGCATCAACGAATGGGCATCGCCAATTCCTTCGCTGAACCTGCCCCAGCCTTCCAACGAATGGGCCCAAGCCAGCGTGCTTCCTAAAACCACCATTGGAGCGGCCACGCCCGGCCAGTTCAGCTCCACGCTCGACGAGGACTTGTTCAAGAACGTGTGGAGCTGAGCGTCTACTAGTTTACGGCTGGTACACTATCTAGTGGATCTAATCATGCATACACAAGACATCTATTTGTCAACACATCAGTGGCCACCGGTGGTGGGCAAGCCAACGTAGACCTTGAAGGAGTCGTAGATCAACCACTGGAATCCGGTCAAGGTACCCACCATGACGATTCTGACAGGCAATCCGTTCCAGATACCCTTGAAGCCAATCTGGCCATAGATTCTCTTCAAGGCCTTGCCCAAGCTTTCGCTGGAGTCCTTGTTGGAACTGATCTTGGAAACCATCACATCTGCTGGGTGGGAAACCACAGCACAAGCAATACCAGCAATGTAACCACCAACAAAAGAAACACCGGTTTGCTGGGTCGAGGTGTAAGCAGAAGCGGGCTTTCCAAGGTACTGGTAGATCAATTCCACACATTTCTCAAAAGAACTGAACTTCACCATGGTGTAAGGGATCTGTCTAGCCCACAATGGGCCGATTCCCTTGTACAAACCGCCCCAGCCTTCGGATTTGTAGATTTTCGAGAAACCCTCGAAAACGTTGTTAGCATATGGAGGAAGCGTTGTCTGGGTCTTGACCTTGATGGTCTCGAATGGACACAACATGATATCGGCAAGAAATTCAGCCGATGCCGAGGCAGCAAGGTATACTGGGGTCTTGTATTTGGCAAACTTCTCGGGACCAACCACGTCGCTGTAAGTCTTTTTGAAGTACTCGTAGAAACCGTACTTACCGGCACCCTGCAAGGAGTAACCGATGAAAGTTGCACCCACACCGGTGAAAATGGAGTCACCCTTGGTTTTGATGATCTTCTTCCAGCCGTCCAAGTTGGACTTGTAGAGCAGCGAGTCCACCTGACGACGACATTTGACAAGATCAAGCGGAGTCACAGAAGAATGGGTAGGTCCACAAGCAATGATACCTCCCAAAGTACAAGCAGCATAGTACTGGTTGGTGAAGAGCTGGATACCCTTTTTAGGGGGTTCTGGCTCGGCGGTTCCAGTGACCTTTTTCAATTGGTCCTGAACAGGCTGCACAATGGCTTCGGTGATGGTGTCTTTACCCATAAGAAAGAAGGTGGTTGATGATGGAAAGATTGCTACCGGGCCCCCCGGATAAATAGGGCGGTTTTCGGCTGCAGGAAGATTCTGGCGATCGGGCCGACGGTGGGAAAAAAGGGTTCGGAAAATTGGCGGATTTAGCGAGACTTAAATTGTTGATGTTTTTACGATTTTGCTTTAGTGTTCGTTTTGCGGTGTATTTGTTGGCGTCGGAGTCGGAGTAGCTTTTCTTACACAAGGGCACTTGACGTTCGTGCGGCGGTTTCATTTGCAGCCGCGATAAGCGGGGCACCCGCAGAGTGGATCTATCAGGTGGGGGTGAACAACGAGTTTTGAGATATTATTTGGGGGCGATTGGGGGACAATTGGGGGATGCGGATTTGGTGAGAGTTGTCGTTTGACAGGGATTGTGGGAGTTGGTGGTGGGGTGTGGTGGAGACGAATAAGTCCGAGGTGTGAAGGAAAGGTGCACCCTTTGCTCCATTGGGTATTAATGATCATCGGAATGCAGGTTTGGGATCAAAGGACAAAGGATGACCAGAATTATGGCTTTATAGGATGGATTGTTTGGTTGGCTGGTGAAGGTTGTAGCGAGCCCTCGGGGTGCTGGTAGACATGGGTTTTTGATACCACAAGATCAACTCGTTGAAGTCTTGAATAAACTTTATGTCAAGTGAGGTTTGGATTATATGAGACAGATGAGACTGAGAACTTTA